CTGTAGCTGTCAGTTCTGCTCAGTCTGTGCGGCTTTGTGAGCTGAAGCCTGCAGTGGGAGGAATTTGGGCTGGACGCAGTCCCACTGAAGTCATTTGCACAGAGCGGTCAGGGTGGAACAAAAGTCAGGCTTCAGAGAAACACTTGAGTGTCTACCGTGGTGTGAGCGTGAGAGACGGAGTCACAGACAGAGAGGAGGAGGTGCAGTCTCCTGCTTGTGGACTAAATAAGTTAAATGAATTTCCTTTTTTCCTGATGGATCCTTCCACTACTGAAATCTGGAAATTTTGGGTGAGTTTGACAGAGAGACGCTACTTTTATTAATGTTTTTTTTTCTAGAACTAGTGTGGTGGAGCTTAAGTCCTTCCAGGTGGACGCAGCAGATGGTCTGTAGGTAAACTGTGCTAATTACCCTCTGCCGCTGTTGACCCAACCAGATGGGCAGAGGGGTGGGACAATCCGAGAAATGATGGAGGGATTTTGTGGAGCAAAGTTGAGGAAAGAACAGCCTGTTGCCACACATTTAAAAAGCATAGACATGTATGAACTTGTTATACTTCCTTCTTTGAGGGCTGATAGTGAACAAGAATTTACCTGTAATTTACCTTTACAGAAACCTTAAAGCTGTTTAACTTGATATGTCTGCCAGAAATCTGTTTATAGTGATCAACTTTTCCATTCAGATTGGAGGTACAGAAATTACACGCAGAATTTAAAAGCTGCTTTCCGTTTGAAACTAAAGTGAATTTCAAAATTATTCTTAACAAAAAGTTGCATAAAAGATATGAAAGTGTTCACAATGTTTTTACCTCCAAAATTAGCTTCGGCTCATTTGCTTTAAGTCAGAAGTTTAGCTGCCAAAAGTATTTGCACCCCTTAAATGTTTCCAGATTTGATTAAATTACAACCTTGGTGTGTTTTTTATGGGATGTTATCAAGTGGATGGAAAATAATGTAAGATTTTAAATTGTTTTTTTTTTTTCTATAAATGTACATATAAAACTATTGCCTGCCTCTCTGTTAGCTGTGATTACAGTCATGCCTCTACTAGCTTTGATCATCTACAGGGTTGAATTCTGGTTATTGTTCACAGCTTTTTCTCAGTTGGATAAACTTAAAATTTTTAACCCTGAAAAAGATTGTCTGAAAAAGAAAAAGATTCCCAGTTTGGAGTTTTTTTTTTTTTTTTTAATAAATTCGGCAAGGTTCCTTATCTCTGTTTGAATAAAGCATACAAACAGCATTATGTAGCTAGCACGCTTTTCCAGTGTATAAAGTTTCTTTATGTTAATTTTAGTGTTGGTTTTCTTTTATAATTGGTCAAAAAGGCAAATTCTCTCTCACCTAGACAGAACACCATATTTCATATTTGCTGCATCTCTTGCAAAGCTTAAATTTAACTTTACACATTTTATTTTATTTTAAGTCTTTTTTTGATGATCAGATCGGTGGAAAAAAAACAATGCACATTATTGATAATTTTGCAAAACATAGAAAACCATACATATGCTACAAATACAGCCATCAGGGGTTTTAAATAACTGTTTATACATTGTAATGTTTCTTAGAACCATCACTTCCGTATTAAAAGTTTGAGTTGCTTAGTTAAAGAAGCCAGACCATATACAGAAAGGTCTCTCTTGGGATTGTATGGTTTCTTCTTGTTGTGGACAAATGTTGGGTTTGATTTAATGATTAGATCATTCAGCTTAATTCAATTCAGTTTATTTATATAGCAACAGTTTGAAGTAATTGTTATCTCAAAGCATTTTACAGAGAAAATTCAATCAAATTATACAGAGTTCTGAGGAAACCCAGCTGATTTCATCCAGTCATTGCTTTGCAGAATTTGCTCCTCCTTATTGAGCATATAGCAACAGCAGACATTTAGTTTGCATTGTGTCGTTGCATCAATCCCTCACACTGAGCATGCATGCAGTGACAGTGGAGAAGAAACACCCCTTTTTAAAAGGACGGAGCCTGCAGCAAAGCGAGGGTCAGTGTGAGTGGCCTTTTAGCAGCGCCGTCAGGGGGGATCAAGATACAGAAACAGACATTAATGGGACATAGAAGCACAGATCATAAACAGTCCAATTTTAATCTAAAAACTAATATTAGGTTTTATCAGCTGGCATCTAAAATCCCCAATATTTTCATGCTGATGGAAACTCTGTGCTTCTGTAAAGTTTGTGTAACTCATTGGTTAATTTTAATTGGGTCAGTTGGTTTTCTTACATTTTTTTTGTTCACCTTTGTTCCCTATTTGAGTATTGTATCGGGTCAATCTTGGTATCGACTGATTCTGAAAATTGCAATATCGGTACCATATCGAGAAAAAAAAAAAGTTTTATCAGGACACCCCATCCATAAATGCTTTCTATGTTAGAAAATATAACAGTTAACTAACTACAGGAAGCTCTGTCTTTGAAGTAAGCAGACTGCTTTGTCTAGGAGATACATGGGACTAAACACTGAAAAACAGACTCAGCTCTATAATCTATGGTATGAAGCCTAGCTTATGCCTCCCTCCAGGATGGTATCAAAGCTAATGCCAGGTTAGATAAAGCTGCTATAAAGAGAAAAAAAATAAAAAACAGAACATAGAAAATGTTCAGATCTTTGAGAGAAGATGGTACTTGGTTATTTAGAGCTTTATACCTAAAAATAAGAGTTTTAAATTTTATTCATTATTTAACAGGAAGCCAATGAAGGTAAGCTGAAATAGAGGAATATGATCTCTCCTTTTAATCTCCATCAGGCTGTGGTGTTTTGGATCAGCTGAAGGCTTTTAGCGGCATTCTTTAGAATCAGAATGCCTTTATTGTCATTGCACAGTGCACCTGTCTGTATTGTAAGGTAGTCCTCGAAATGGACTAAATGGAGTTACAGTAGTCGAGCCTGTAAGTAACTAATATATGGACTAGTTACTCAGCATCACTCCTGGACAGGAAATTCTTTATATTTATTTATTGTTTGTAATATTCCAGAGATGAAAGAAGGAAATTTGTCAAAAATCCTGTTCAGTCTAGAAGTTAAATGAGAAGTCTTTATTATAAAATAACATCAAGTTACTTTACATCGTTTTCGGAGGCAAAGTTAATATTCTATATGCACTGACTGAATAAGCAGCTTATTGCTTCAAAGACTCCATTCTAAACATGATACTCTTTATCTTGTCTGAATTCAAAAGCAGAACATTTCAGCTCACCCAGGGAATAATAAATGCAGTTTCCTGGGCAGGTGATTATTATCCCTCTCTGATTGACTAGTTGATGATAACCGACAACCATAATTTCAGTTCCTCCTTCTGGGTTTTTATAACTATTGTCTCCATTTAGGTCTGTTACTAATGAAGACTTATGTGACAAAATACCAATCAACGTTTCTTCTTATATCTCTGGTACCTGTCATGTTACATGGCTTTTTATGGCTCTGGCAAAATGACTAGATCAGAGAACTGGCTTTCTAGAAGCTTTGAATAGAATCTAACAAAGTGCTGAATCCATCAAAGTGATGTTGGGTGTGCTAAAAACCCACTAGGCAGTGTAAATAGACTGGTTGCCATGGTGAGTGTAGGTTTATTTGCTTAGCATGAATGGGCAAACTCATGTCTGTCACCTGTAACACTTGAGATATTAACAGGACTAGAAAATAGGTGAAGTGTAACTTTACTAAACAATAAATGTTTTCTTTAGGTGTTTCTGGGAAAATATTTTAAGCTCGCTATTACCTGAAGGAGGGAGACATGGCCCAGTCCTTACGAATACATTTTTTTTTTTTTTTTTTTTTTGTGGTAAACCTCAGCTGGTTTTTATTAAAAGTCTTTGTTTGGCATACAACACCTGGATGCTTGGACCCTGAGGTTTCCAGTAGATTGCCTACTGGCAGCTATTGGCCTAGGATATAATCTAAGCACAGTTAAAAATGTTTGCTAATACTCATTTATCAAAGATTAGGCAGTTTCATTTTGTATTCTCTGCCAATGATAACCTGTTTGAGTTTAATTTAAAATAGGTATTTTTAAGTGTTGCACGGTGCCTTATTAGCAGTAACAATGTGCTTAGCAGCTTCCGGGGATAGTGCCAACAGTAAAACATAGCTGGTTCAGACTTGTTTGAAGTCCCACTGTGCAACAGCTCATGTGCTTTAATTTGTTATATTTATCCCGTTGCTACTTCATGCTCACTCTATTGGTGGGTTGTGCTGAAGTGCAAATCTTCAGCTGTTACTTTGACTGGGTCAGCTGATAGTATCCCTGCGTAATGGAGAATCTAATCAGTCTTTATTCCACAATCTCTCGGCATCCATCTTATCATGAATTAATAAATAGACACGGGAATCATTTGTAAATATGTGCGTCTGATATAGAACTTTGGCTAAAGGTGTGTACTGCAGTTAAAGGTATAGGAAATACTTACCGGTATCTAGTTATATGTTATATGTTTCTGATTTTACATTTCTTCTAGTCTGTAAATCTAGAAAAAGGAAGATTTTCTATTAATTGTATTGCAACACCAGGATGGGAGATCTGAAATGAGTATTTTAGTGACCATTTAATTCCATCTGTGCTTTTGATGATGAAGGTATTTCAAAACTTATGTTGGCAGAAGAGTCTGCTGTGCTATTCTTAGAACCAGACAGGAGGCCTTCCCCAAGTGCAGAACAGCTGCACGGGTGTCCAAGGCATTGCCTGTCAGATTAGAGAGCCTACCACTTGTGATAAGGCCATCACAGATCAGGGTCTAAATCCACTCCACCAGGTGGCCAATGATGACAGAGCCCCCACCATCAGGCTTAATCTCTGAAACTGTGATGTCGGCTGGGAGGGGTGACTGAGATGAGCTTAAATGTTGGGTTTATAAAGGGAAGCATGCTGTCTCCCTATTTTTTTATGATAGATTTCTCTGTAAAGCATTTAGACAGGAACATGACAGTGAATGTGGTCTGTGTTTCAAATGTCCTGTTGCTTGTGATGATGTTTTGCCTTCCCTTCCTCTGCAGGCTCTCCCTTGCTGAGCAGACAGAGAGCAGCCACCCTGCCCCTGCTTCTCCCTCACCTCCCTCCGATGACCCCTGCACTACACACCTTCCTGCCATCCCTCCTCACCTCCACAAAACCACAGAGTCCGCTCCTCACCCATCCTTGGAGAGCGACACACTTCCATCCACCCCGCCTGCATCCCCCTGCATCCCTACTCCAGTTCCTGCAGACCAATGTACTCTTTCTACTGATAATTGTGAGGACCTCTACCCTGTTTCTGCACCCTCCCAAGTTCTGTTAAGGTATGGTCAGAAGACTTCATTGCCTCTCCCTGTTCATATTTAGGTCATTTTATCATTTTGGTTTGAAGTTTGGATTCAACAAATGCAGTACAACTTAATTTGGATAGTCAGATTTTTCCTGTGTTGACACTGCTCTCTAAAAGTCACAGTAATTCCTTTAAAACCCTTTAACACCCACATTTTTACATTTTATCTTATTGAAAGCTAAATCTTTCTAGTTTCTGGAGATATCTGTACAGACTCTGTAGGCTTTACACAACCAGAGCTGTGCAACTTCAAACATGTCCCAAAAAAAAACTTTTTTCTCCCCTCAAATAAAATTAATTTATTTGTAATGTTATATCTTTTGCATTATTCATAGTTGACCTCTCCCACTTTCTAGAATTATTCTTCATGTTGTGGACAACAACTAGGTAAAATGTCAGATCTCTAGTCATAAACATTGTGAAAACATGACCCCTTTTGTATGTAAAAGGTCCATTTGGAACAATTGTGCCAAATTTGGACCAAATGGTCCAAATTGGTTTATTTGGTTTATTTTAATTTATTGACTTATTTGACCATAAAAAAACACATTACTATGTTTAGATTTACACAAATTTTCATTCAAGCCTTTTTTTTTTTATACAATATTTTCAATTTTGATGCATGAAAGTCCACTCCGTGTGTAACCACTAGATCCTCCTCTCCTGTCACTTTGATATGATCATGATATTTGATGAAAAATCTAAAAAATGTGATGTAAAAACATACTAATGTTGGGCGGTGGACATTAAGAAGTTATTTTTTTACTGCAAAGCTCCAAAAAAAATGACACCATTAAACTGACGACTGCTGCTAATTCTGATTCACACATCTCTGGGAACAAAGCTCTGATCATGTGGTTACCTTGGGTAACTCAAACAGATAGAGTGACTTTTAGACTTTTGCATGTAAAGGTGATGTTTTTTTTTTTTGGTAAATGCTTACATAATAAGTTAACAACTCTGCTTATTATCCCACTCATAAAACTACAGCATTCTTCTACTTTTTGTTATTTTATTTATTAACTAAAAAAGCACTCGGAGAGTGCAGAGCTCCGCCAAGCAGCAAATTTTGCTCCAAATTCTGACTTACACCTATAGATGAAACTCACACATGATCTGGATCATTAGCAAATTTAAAAGAATTGTTCCTTGGCATGAGGTGCACTTCTGATGAAAAATGTCCTTAAAATCTGCTCATAAGTTTTCCATTGATCCTGCTAAAAAAAACAACAATGCTCCCTTTCCTTGGGTTTTTGTCTTCAGTAAAGGCAAAATATCCCTATCTTACAATGTTAGAGAACCTTTAAAAATATTTCTATACGCAGATGATGATCTGGATCATTACCAAAATTGAATGAATTGTTCCTTAGCATGATGGACACCTCTGATAAGAATTCCATTAAAATCCGTCCATAACTGTTCCAGTTTTCCTGCTCACAGACAGACACACAAACTCTCCTAAAAACATAACCTCCTTTGTGGAGGTAATGAAAACAGTAAATATGTAATTTGTTATTAATATCTGTTTACAATGTCTACTACTATGACATCCTCATGTTTTTCAGCTAAGGCAGTTATACTCCTCAGATTATAGTCTCTATATTTTAAATAGAAAAATATGAATAGTCGTCACTGTTTAACACACATCATTCCTCTGTAGCCCCTTTTGGCTTTGCATTTTATTGCATTAAGTTTATTTGGAAGGAATGACTCAGCCACTTCTGGACTGCAATGATCTTTGCAACCACCAGAGGGAGTTTTCTTCACACTATTCAGAGTAATGCTCCAACCACCTACTGTAGTACAGGAGTCTTCAACTGTCTTTTAGATGTGTCTCTGCTTCCACACACCTGAAGTAATGGATGAATTACCTCCTCAGTATGCAGTTATGTTCTCCAGACCTGATTAATCAGCTAAGGTGTATAGAAGCTGCAGCACATTTCAAAAGTTGCAGGACATCAGACCCCGAAGACTGGAATTGAAGACTCCTGACCTTATACAGTCATGTATCTATGACAAAGCAAAGGACTGCAAATATTGGGTTGATAAAAGATATATCTTATTTTTTTTTATTGAAGCAGTTTTGTCAATTGGCTCTTTAAAAGCACGCCATGCCCAGAGAGGAGCAGAAGGATAGAAAAATAGTCAGACAATTTTATATTATTTATGATCTCAGAGAGGCATGTTTTAGAGTACTGCAAAAGAATCAGTGGCTCAAAAAACTCAACTTAATATTTAACCTATCCTAGATTATGATGTAAGAATATGGCAGTGCATCTGTTCGTACACGATTTCGGTTTCGTGTAATTTTATGGATTTGGATCTCTATTAGGAGTAAGATAAGAATAGCTAAGAGTACATCAGTTACATTTCTAACTAGAAATGCACCCTGACAGTGCAGACATGTGCCAAGCAGCAAATATGGGGAGTAGTAGCCTAGTGGTTAGAGCATAGAGCTTAGAATCCTGAGGTTGTGAATTTGAAACAGATTGCTACTCTGGGGCCCTGAGCAAAGACCCATAACCCCACAGTGCTCTCCAGGCCCCGCATATGGCAGCCCACTGCTCCCCAAGGGGAATGGTTAAATCTAGAGAGTTAATTTCGTTGCGCTGTACTGGTGACAGTGTAATGACAATAAAACGGTGAAAAAACCCAAAAACAATTGTCCTATATTTTGACTTACACCTATAGATAAAATTCACACATGATGTGGATTATTAACAAATGTTCTGCAAGAATTTAGGCAATCATCTGGCAATGCTAAACACTATGAAAGAGGCATGACTTCTAAGGTACTAGATCTTAGCTCTTAACTGGCATTCTATCTAGGTTCCCTCAGTCCTGTCCTGATCCCTTTCATAAACCACTTCAATGTGTTCCATTAACAACAAATGTTTCTAAAATCCATGCAAAAATTCTCACATTATTTTATGTATTTTTTGCAGACCTACAGGAAAAAGGCACCCCTTTAATGCAGAAATGTGATTAAAAAACAAACAGAAATTACAACCACTAGGCTAATAGAGCTCTGCTTAGTTGTGTTATATGATGCGTAATATGAATAAAGTCAGAAAACTGACATGACATGTTTTCTAGGTGGCTATCTATATCTGTAATGACTTGATTGATTTCACTTTAAAAGCCCATTCAAAGCTGCAGTAGCTTTACCATTTAAACAAGCATTTTAATCCTTATATTACAAAGGTATAAATATCTCCTGACTGTGATTTTCAAGAGGATAATGCACTTTTTCAGAAAGATTTTCTTTAAATTAACTGCAGCAATCTCTAAAGCAACAGATCTCAATCCAATAGTGCACATTTGAAATGCACTAAAACATGTTTGTTTCTTGCTTCTTTGTTTCTGCATGATTAAGTCATGACATTATGAAGAGAAATCTCTGCAAAATCATGAATCACCAAGGCATTACTTTGGTTGTTAAGATACCACTATTGGTCCTGACAGAAGGAACCTCCTGTAGTGAGAGTCCTTACTTAATGAGTTATCATTGTAACAAACTAATTTGAATCCATTTTCCCTGAAACAAAATCTTTGTGGAGTTTTATTTCAAAGAACCATAACTGATAGTTGGTTACATGCATGCATTTTGGGTTGACCCTTTTAACTGCACTTCAAGTGAATGCAGTTATAAATCTTTTAGAAAACTGTCACAGCCATATTTCCAGTGCCTGGGTTAGCTGAATTTTTTATTTCATACTGCTTTGAGGCTGAAGGTGTGTGGGAATATTAGAATGTGATTCAATACTGAAATGAATGGGGTAATTATTGCACATATGTCTGTGTCCTAAATGCAGATTTGAGTCTCCTCGGGGGTGGGTGGTCTAAACCAAATCGATAATCAATGATTTTTCTTCTGTTTCTGTCTGTGCTTTGGGCAACAAACCAGGGAATTATTTTAATTAGGATTTTAATTCCCTTAATATACTTTCAAAACATCATTTATAACGAACTGGAGATTTACATGTGGGTTTCTATTCTAGCTACTGGAGCAAGCAATCTTTTTTGCCCTTATAGAAGCAGGTACGACACCTGAAACCTCTACAGGAAGTTTTCACGTCTGGAGGCTCAAGTTATCCTAGAGAGCCTGAACTCCCTCACTTTCCCATGAGTATACAATAGATTTATTCGTCTCATGTTGCTTTGTCTCCTTGTCCTTGTTGAAGCTGAAATCGGTGGGGAATTTGATGAAACTGATCTTTCCCCCCCCATTCAAAGCCCACGGGACACATTCTTTGCATCTGTCACCCAGATGACTTAAGAAGCCATTGCTTGATCGCTTTGATTTCAGTCGAAGGTTTAGTGAGAGAAAACCCGAGAACTAAAGACAGAGGCAAGAGCATTCACATGTGGAAACATCTATTGTCATCCGTTATAATAGAAGTGAGATGGCCTCGAATTATCTTTTGTTCCAGCAGCATTCTTTTACTGTAAAGAATTAAAACGTCTAACCTACACTTTTTTGCGCATATACTTAGTGTTGGAAAAGAAAACAACACTAAGATGCATTTGTTTTGACAAAAACAGATATCACTTTTACTGGTACAAACAAAGAATGTAAATTATATGTAAATGAAAGGATTTTTTTTAAAAGCGCACTTCACTTTTTAAACTTTTTTTTTTTTTATCATACATTAGCCAGTTTTCAATCATTAATTCACAACTTCCTTTCGCCCCGGAATATAAATATGATACGATATACCACTAAGCTGGATAGAAAAACAATTTCATCCTTATGGCAGTTTGGAAAATATACAAGAAATAAATATGTTGTTTAATTCCTTAAGTAAAAAAATACGAATATGTACATTTTGATTAAGTCTGAAGGACTTTAAATGATGATTTGTGTTTGTTTTTTTTGATACATGACTAACATTAGGCTATTAAGGAACAACACTGCAGTTGAGTTAAAATGTAAAGCATAGGATGTATATGTGGAAAATGCACCTTATATTC